TGCATTTCCTGTTTGCTTTTATTACTTAATCCATGATTTAATACTACACATGCAGACAGGAAGCTGTAACAAGAGCAATCCCAAGGGCTCATGGGAAAAACAGCACTGCAGCCAGCACCTTTTTTCTCCACAGCAATGTCCCAGGTGGTCTCATATCAAAATCTTCTACGGCTACTTCCAAAGACAAAACAGTTCTGCAATATCACAGGATTTAAGTAGTAACTTCCCTTTTACAAAGAAAGAGCTACTCAAAGTAGAAACTGAACCAGCATCTCTGTAGGGAAGCAGCAGGAAGAAGGGGTTGGGAAAAGATGTGATGGAGTCTGATGCTGACAGTCTAGATGCTGGAGTTGAAAATCTGTTTCTAGCCCTGAGGTACTGGTAGACATTGGGCAGATCACTGGACCTACCATGTAAAATAATTGGGTTTTGACCTTTTCTACTTTTCAAGAAGGTGACTTAACATAATCAAAGTACTTTGAGAACATCAAGTGAAAGGTGCTAGAAAGAATATCATTAACCATAGGAAGCCTTGGCAAATGAACTCTAGCCTTCACCATATACATTATTCTGACAGAAGGTAATAACTTTAAGCTAAAAAGTTGAGAAGGGTTATATTTTTGTGAAGCACAGCCTTCTAGCAGCTTAATCCTTCTCCACATTACCAAGGCTTCTGTAACCTCCTTTCAAAAACATAATAAAGGCATCCCAAATCTTCACACTTTTATAAAAACTGACTCTGCAGGAGGTTTGTTAGTTTGTTTTGTTTTGTTTTTTTTTTTAAAAGAGTCATGCTGGAGAGATGGCACAGAAAAGTAATCAGTAACTGAATTCAATTTACAGCTCCCAGATCATGCAGCCTCCCTGACTCATCCAAGCCACTCTGCTTTATCAGAACTGCCAGCATCACTTTGAGACAGCATGTAATAAAATATGGAAAATGTGTTCAAAATGTGCAACCTCACTGATGTGATGAGCTGACATGAACAACACTTTCTTCCCACTGTGGAATGCCATCATGCGGTTGCATTAGCCTGGCAGCAAACACATATTGCTGCTGCTACTGTCACTGCTGCTTTTGTGTACGGGGGACTTCAGGGCCCAGAGTACACACATTCAGCTCGCTTCACCAGCACAAAATGCAAAGCTTCACTCCTGGCTATAGTCCTGACTCATATGGAGGAAATCACTTTTGTGCATCATCTAAAGGATGCTGTGAGATAACACCCTTATATGTTCCTTCTGCTCTCACAGTGGGGCATGAGTCAGATCTTTACAGACACAGGGACTCCAGTGGCACAGCTACTCCAGTAAAACCAGATGACGCTGCTTTCATGCTACCCAGTTTTGTAGACACAAGTGTAGCTGTACCTGTCACTGGCCAAGTCTGAACCCTTGCTATTCTCATTGCAGCTCTAGTGCCTTTCTTTGCCAAATAATAAATAAAGCTTTTCTGTTCTTTCCCTTATTTTAGTATTGAGCTTGGGTGCTAAATTAAAACCCATTAAGCTGGCTACTGTTATTCATCTGAATAGTAATACTGGAGCAATGATTTTTGTTCAAAGCATTGCAATCTCTCTGCATTTCATGGCTGTAACATAGCATGGTAAGAGAATACTGCAGCATTTCTCCTAATGGCTCCAAAGCACTAACAATGCCTGCAGCACTAAGTAATGCTGCATCTAGTATCAGCAGCAGGAAAGAAACACAGAATAATCCAGGTTGGAAGGGACATCTGTCCTAAGGCCTATAGTCCAAACTGTCAAAGCAGAGCGGACCTTGAAGTTAGGAATAATCACTTTCATCTGCCATCTTTGGGCCGGACAGAAATTAAATACTCCTTTGTGTGGATTAAATGAAACATTACTAAGAAATAATAGTAATAAAATTACAAGTCAATGTAATAGATTCCATGGCAAGGAACTAATAATGAAAGGTTGGCCCTAGCACATCATATTTGGTACTTCATTAACAGTTTCTAATTTGTCAAAGATTGGATGCGCAAGGCACACAGCTGACGCTTTTAAAGTCAAACTAAAGGGTAAGTAATCTCAGAGAGAGACTGATTTTTAAATATTGCTCAGTTTTCCCCTAGTGGAAACTCTAGCTGAAGCCAACCAAAGTCACCAAAGTCACTCTTTTAGCCACTGTCTTTTGAACTGCTATGTTTGATTCACTGTCCAGAACAGAATAAAGCATAGTGGTTAACGTGCCTGTGAGTCAATGGAAACACAGCTAAAATTGCAACTCTCAGCACTGGCAACATCAGTGGAATTGTCTGGGTTGGAGCAAAGGTGTGAAATGTTAGCAAAGCAAGTCGCATATAGCCCCACCTTTGCTTCATAAACCAAGCAGGTGTGACCGGCAGAGCTGAATGAGCAATACTCAGAAACAAAATTCACATGTGCACGCTATTGTCTTTTTTTCAACCTTTACAGGAATTTTCAAATCACAGTTCCTCCTACTCACAAATACCGCCCTTCTCCAAGGTGACTGAAAACCATCACATCTCTCCTGTAAGAAATTCTGTTCACTTCTGTCTTTATACAGTAGCAGAAGGAAGCATGAGATTTGATATTAAAAGTTCCCGGAAAGCATTGGATCCAGAGGCACAGAACTGCAGATTTTCAGGCAGTCCCTGGCTAGGACATGTCTGCACTGCCACGATAGCTACAGGGAGTTGTAGCTCCACATCTCTCATGTTTGCTGTCTTCCCTGCACAGCTGTTTCCCCCAGCCAAGCCACTTCTTGATCACAGCGCAGCATGGAAGTGCCACCCTGGGATCCACTAATGGGGATCAGGCAGAGTAGACTGTATGTAGGAAGTGACAACAAACACCTCGAAGCTTCACATGCATGTCAAAGGTAGATAAAGGAAGGCTTGCCCTACTCTCCTTAGAGCCCTCCTCCCCTTTTCATACCCTTTTGCTCCTGATTTTTTGTGGGTTACATGAGGACTTCCTTCCAAGGAATGGTGCTTACAAAGGGTTATATGAGGTGAAGATCATATATATATGATAATGCGATGCTTCCTGCTAAAATGTCTTCCAGAATGCCTCTCAGGCACATACAGCAGTGTGCAGTGCACCCAGATGTTGACTACGTGTCTCAGGAAGTAAGAGGGAAAAAACATACACTGTTAAGTGAGCTGAAAAACTCATGTGAGATGGTGCAGTTCAAGTCTGCATTCTGGTGCTCATTGGATAACTATAGTTTTTTTCATCTTAAATGTCTTCTCTCTTTAGACTTTGGCTACCTGTGTCCCCTGCTGTTACGCAAGATCTAGAGGAGGGCAGCTCCAAGGAAAGGGCTGCTCTGTGCTGTCTCCGTAGCCCTCTTCCTCAGGCATCTGGGGCTGGATCTGCACTGGCTGTGAGCAAGGACATCTGAGATATTGCTGCATTGTGCTCCTCGCAAAGAGTTCAACCCCCACTTACAATTTAGTCAAACAAGGCTCTGCTAAAAAAACCCAAACCAAACCAAAACAAAAACAACAACAAAAAAAACCCATCACCCCAAAAACCACAACACAACACAACAAAACAAAACCACTAGCTAAAGGCCTGGTTGATGAGGCTGATGGCAACTTTTGTGATCTGGGGCTGGTTAGTAAAAGCAACTGCATGCTGGGATGCTTATGCTCCTGCAAAGGAGCAACCAGGCATGATGGGTTTGGAGATCCCCAGAGAAGAGCAAGTCCACTGTTACCCACCACAAATCTTTTTTCTGATAATATCAGCAACAAAATAAAGCTCAAACACTTTTTTTTCCCTTGTGCATGACCGAAATGGGGAAGAGGGGTAGTGAAAAGTGTGGATAAACATGCAGCAAGAAACAGTCCCTGGCTCCTTTGCAGTGATTTTACTGGAAGAGACAGAATCTGAACCTGGAGCCAATCCAAGGGTCACACATTTCACTAGAAACACAGCATAGGCAACATACACATATGTAGACTATGTTAGCTTGACTTTGGGCTGTCTTAACTTATTAAAACATCCTGAAGTCTCACAGCTTTCTGCAGGTCAAGCACACAGCAAGTAATGTAACCGTTCCACACTCTCCTGAATAGCGTGATTTCCTTCTAAAGAAATTATCTGAGAATGTGGCACATAAACACATTTTTAAGTGGCAAGCCAAGTTCAGAATTTGCAGCACAGCAGTTTCTCAGCAGTAGCACTATGTTTCTAGCCCATGATAAATGCAAGGTAGTTTAAAAGGCCTTGCTCAGACACATGCAGCTTATCTCATTGTAACCTGCTTTTGTGTTTTATCCTCACATTAAAACATCTGCCGAGTCCACAGTTGCACAGTGTTCACACACAGTTATAGCAAAATCAGTTCTGCATGGAAGAAGCTGATACTCTGCTTCTCAGGGTGGGCTGTTTCCACGCCAAGCCAACATCTCAAGCAATTTGGGCTCCACCTTCCCTCTAACCAAGCCAAATAAAAATGTCAAAAGGATTTTTTTAGAATAGGAGTACTGAATTCCCCCACCTTACTCAATTCCCTTCTTTCTAGAGACTGGCAAAATCATGTCACACATATTTAGGGAAAAGAGGGTGGGCAGACACATACATGATCACATTTTGTTGCATGTTATTAATGATGGAAAATGGTGACTTTGAATAGAGCTTTAATTTCAAATAAAGCAGTTTTCAAACTACTTTTTCAAACTGCTGTTGAGGATAAAAGTGAGATGTCTGTGACAGTTGTACTACAATGTGCATCTTGCTCTATAGAGTTGCTCTGCAGCAAGGGATCACAGATGGTTTGTGGTGGTGGGAAGACCTCGATCCGAAGGCCTGCAGACTTACTACACTTGCAGAATTCCACCTTAAAAGCAATTGGACGTGCGCGTAACTCGGAGAAGGTTTGCTAAGCAATGACACATTGCACTTGGATCAGAAAGCATAACATCTGGAAGCCAAATGTTAGAAGCGATATAAAAGGGCCAGCCCAACAAACCAGTGGGGCATTTCCACGCCAGGAACATCCTCAGGATGGACCTGATCCTTCTCTGTGTACTCCTGCCTCTGGTGACTGTGGCATGGGGCCAGTACGGTGACTATTATTATGGTCCCTACAACTACGGAGATAACGATGAATGGGTCAACGTATACCGCCAGGGTTTCAACTTCCAGTGCCCCCACGGGCAGGTGATTGTGGCCGTCAGGAGTGTTTTCAGCAAGAAGGAAGGCTCCGACAGGCTGTGGAACTACGCCTGCATGCCGGCAGCCCAGAGCCTCGGTGAGCCGACAGAGTGCTGGTGGGAAGAGATCAACAGGGCAGGAACCGAATGGTAGGATACCCCTAACCACCCCCAGAGGGCACAGCCCTGATACCCCCTGTGCAAAGCGGGTGCTAATGCTGCAGTCAGAGCAATGCAAAGGCAGATTAATGCCATCATAACCAGCGGCTTCACTGTCTGGGACTCATTACAGGATGCATGCATGTGAGGTGATCAGCATCACATTTGTCTTGTCTTGTAGCAATTTCTTGTTGGAGGGTCTCAGTGTGCTTTAGAAATGCCGTGTTGTTCGGTCACTCACAGCCTCAACTGCAAAGTGGTTCGGTTTTTCTATTGTTGTTTCACAAATACGGGAAATGAGACATGAACCTTTGAAAGGCCATAAACTGAATCAGTGACTAAACGGGGGAACAAATTGTAAAACTCCTCACTCTGACCTCCTGCTTTTATCACTAGAAAAAAAAATCTTCTCTGTATTGTACTGGCTTTTCTCTGTGTTTTTGTTGCTAAGCTTTTTTGGCTTAGGCCCAGTCAAAGAATGTTTTCTAGTCATGCTGGTACTACAAAAGCCAAAAATCCACACTAACGAGTTATCATGGTGGCATATATACACATGATAAAGACAGCAGAAGATCATGTTAATTCCCTGACACAGTCACTTTTGGTTAACTAAATGTTATATTATCCATCAACCTCAGAGGCAAAGGCAATCAACATTTTATGGCCACAACAATTTCTGGAAATATCTATGGTGTTTCTTGTTAGGCAGCACATATCTGGCATTTAATTATCTTCTGATTTTTTCATGAAATACAAAACAGAGTTTTGGAAAATTCTGAGTCTGAAATATTATTTGGATAGAATAAAATGAATGCAAGAGTATTTTCAAATACTTGAAATGGTTTTGCTCCAGAAATTGTAATGTGATTTTGGTAGATTTCCAGTTATACTGGAACAGGTTCACAACAAATGTGAAACTTCTGCTTTTTAAATGATTCAAAATTTTGTTCTGAATTATTCATACTCTTTCATTTACCACGTGATACATTCCTACGGCTGATGCAATTGCTAAGGAAGAAATGATTGACCCTATACTTAATTTTGGAATAGGAACTGAAAAGAAAGTGAGAGGGCTGCAAAACAGATAGAAATACTGGTGATAATACTGGATGACTTCATTTTTTTATACATTGATGCAATTTCTACTTAATGCATAGTAATTTTGAATCAGACCTTTCTACTGATCAAAATAAAATGATTATTCTCTTTCTAAAAATCCCTGGCAGCAATTTCTCAAGTTCACTACTCACAAAAATGGTACTGTGCAAGTCTGTACAGAACATCTTCTTCTGCTAACCATGGGGCCACATTCATCACCATGCTCCATATGCATGACTACATCCACAGTGTAATATCTGACTCTGATTTCCTTCACGTCTTAAAACAATCTTGCCACTTTGCTGTCTTTCTTGCCTACATTTTTTCCTATTGCCAACCCTATGTTTCCTCCAAGTGTCCTTCGTTTCCAATGCCTTTTTTCTGTGTTTAACTCTCTTTCTTTCCTAGCTTTTGGAGTTATTTTCCTAGCTTTGGAGCTATTTTTTGAGTTATAGAATGGTTTGGATCAGAAGGGACCTTAAAGATCACCTAGTCCAACGCACCTGCCATGGGCAGGGACATCTCCCACTAGACCAGGTTGCTCAAATCCCTGTCCAACCTGGCCTTGAACACTTCCAGGGATGGGGTATCCACAATTTTAGTTATTTCTTTAGCTCACCTTAATAGTCCAACATCCTTACATTTACCTGTCTTCTCTGTATGGGGCTCCTTCTTTCTTTCTTCTATCTATTTTTAGGGAAGGGGGAATACACTGAAGTGCTTAGGGAACACATACTCTTTTGCAAAGGTGAACTTGTGCTCCTGATGACTTGGGCTATTTCTGTACAACATCCTCATGTCAGCTGATATAGCACTTTGCAAGACTCGCTAGTCCATTCCCCGTGGTGGTGGGACAGACTATAGTACTACTTCTTTGAGTCTGCCTCACGGGGTGTCTTGTCTCACCTTGCACATCACATCCAGGGACACTGAATGGCTTGTACCACCAATAACTACAGAGCTGCCAAGTTTTTGCTAAAATTTAAGCTACTTTTCCTCTGAAGTCATTGAGGCTTCTTATTCCTTGCTCTACCTTTACTGAGTAATGAGAACAAGCACACTCCATCCTTTGTAAAATCTCCTTCACTTACTAATAGGTAGCAGCTATGCCTTTCTCTCACTCACTCACCTTCACCCATGCTTTTGTTTTCAAGCTGAACATGTCTCCATTCCTCTAGTTCTTCTTTGGAAGTTTTATATCTCAGCATTCCTAAGCAAGAGCTGATCATATGTACAGCTCTCCTCTGAATTCCCTCCAGTTTCTCACCCATGCCCTGGAAACTCTAGTCTGACCAAAAAATGACCTCTCATAAATACTATCTGTGGTGTTTCACAAATCACCATTCCTGACTATTGTGCAGCTGCACAACAGAGACAAGCACAAGAGAAGTTTCTTTAGAAAAGACAACAAACCAAGAAAACCTTTAGAAAGAAAATGAAGTGGGAATAAAAACCAGAGAGAAGAAAGAGTCTTCAACTCATTATTTTCTTTGGCCATTAGCACTTGGGGTGAAATGGCAGAAATGGATGTAAGGAATGTAGGGATGGGGCATTTAGGGAGATTAGACAGCAGCAAGGAACCATCGGCAAAGCTGGTTTAGGTAAGTTTGCTTCCTAGACTAATACTAGGTATTATATAGACTTCTAGGATTAAACCCTTAAGACTGCATCTTACAGATATGAAAAAAAATTCAGCAGAAAGAGGGCAACAACACAAATCCACATTAAGCATCTAATCATGATGCCTAATTTATGACCTCTGCTCCCTTCTAGAGTCAATGGAGAGAAACAGGTACTCTAAAACCCGCCTTCTGGGGCATCCATCACTCTCCCAAAGCAGACTCATGAGGACCAATCACCTCTGACAGTTGCCAAGAATTACGTACTGGCATTTCAGAATACACCTGTCTTAATAAATACATCCCTGAAGTTAAGCACATGTGTACGTGCACTTCTGAAGAGAGCATGCTCTTCTATGTTTTGTTGAACAGATGTGAGAAAACTCTGAATATAGCAAGTTTCACCTCGGGTAAATATTTCACCAGCTAAGAAGAGGTAACATCTGAGTGACTGCAGGTGAGACTGTTCTTCACTGCTTCACTGAATACTACAGAGTTGTCTCTACAGACCACTCTTTGAACATGGTACTTAAGAAAAAGTATTTTTCTTGCCTGAAAGTACCAAAGAACAGGGATCAAACAAACAAATGAACAAAAGCTTGCAATGAAAGATAAGCAACTTTTCCTTCCAGGAAAAAATGTTTGTTTTACACCACATAATACAGATGGAACCATGCCATATCCCAAATAAACTCCCAGTTACCCATAAGGCACAAAGCAGAAACATGTCCAGCCAAGTGGTACTTAATGCATGTTTATTGCCTCTTTTCCTTGTTTAGACTTCTGAGCAAATGTTTGGATGGGACTTGGAAAAAACAGATATCTAGATTCCCCCTTCCCGGTCCCATTCTCACTCTACTTTGCCTTTTCTTTAAGTGCACAAACACACACACACATGTACACGCACAGATCCTTCAACTATGCGCACAACCCTACTTTCCACAAACGAGGTGCAAAGACAGACTCATGAGCAAAGGAAGCATCTGCAGGAGCCTTCTTTTCAGGCACTGGCAGCACACCCTGGTACATCTGCAAGGAACTGGTTTTGTTCTCAATCTCTGACCAAGTCTCAAATCTGGGGCTGTATTACCCAAACCCAGTAATCAAGCTGCCCTTTCAAAATGTTCCCATTTGTGCTAACTACACAAACAAGTTAATTTTCTCCAAAGCCCTACGTTTATGTTAAAGGGAGTGTGCTACAAGCTCTGAGCACAGCTGCAATGGACTGAGTCCAGTGGGAGCATCTAAGGAGAAGAGAGGTGTTTCTATAGATAGGGAGGCCTTTTCAGTGTTTGTCAGGAGGAAATCAACAGGCTGATTAGGGCCTTGCCTTCCCTTTGGGTGGGGAGGTGAAAGAAAATCATCACTGACCCCTAAATGAAGGAAAAAGATAGTTGAAGATGATAGTGGTATTGCCTTTGGCTTGTGGAAGTCATGACAACATTTCTCCCCACCTCACACCAGATAGTGGAGACTCCTTGTAGAAGTAGCCATTGGAGACTGGCATGGCCTAATCAAACATGGAAAAGTCATTCCCTTCATCTGAATGGCAGTGTTTCAAGCGTCCTGAGCCTGCCCTCAGTCACTTATCCCTCCCCACTCATCTGCTACAGAGTGACCATTAAATTAGCTTTCATCATGCAACTAACCAAGCTATAAAGAGGAGGCCACTCCACAAAAATAACTCAGGAGAGCAGGACAGGGTCTCCCCTCCTCAGCTGTACCAAAAGCAATTAAAGCTTTGGATACTGAAAGTAACAAGGCTTTGGTGGAACAGCACTCCAGGAAAATAGTGTATCTAATGTCTCACTAAAAAATGCCTCCCACGCTCTAACTGTGGCTGCGTGAGGTTAGACCACCTCTCTATGTATGCACTCCAGGGAGGACTGCAAATCACACCACACACAGCACACAGCGCTGTTTCTGTTGGGTTAGTTTGCCATGTCTGGCAGATCTCCATAATATATAGATCCATTCTGCTGTGACAGGCTGTAGAGAGATAGCTTTAAAGTAATTAACAATGCAAGCTTTACAAGAGCCATCTGCTCTACAGCAAAACAGTAGGATTTTTTTGAAGTATACAGAATGACAGTCTCAGGTTACCTAGTTATAAGGAACAAATTGTTCCTAATGCAGCATGATCCAGTGATGACTGAGCTGTGTGTCACAGTCTGCCCATTTCCAGAGAGCTTCAGGGAGTGCGACCTGGTCAGCATGGCAGGGGCTCAATGCAGGCTCTATCAGCACCACTTACTGGATTGGACTTGGACCTCC